ATTTGTCCCCTCAATTGGACTGAATTCTAACTTCGGCCATAACAATCTATACATATATATATATAATAAAAGATTTGTTTTTATTGAAGACTTTTTTATTTATATTAACGTCCACTATATATATAAATATAGCATCGATTCAGTTTTAGCTTTACTGATTTATGTTAATAATAGAGATAAATATATTTATTTAAAATAGATTTGTTCTTGACGAAAAAAAAAATATTTGAGAAGAAAAAAAACGCGGCAATAATCATTTTCTTTTTTTCTTCTATTTAAAATATTTGTAAAATGAAGATATTTATAGAAAAAAAAAAATATATATATTCGAATAGACTAAAACAAAAAAAACTAACAGAAGAAAAACAAGTTATTTGAATACAAATGAGTATATATGATAAATATTTGTTTAGTTTTAAAAAAGCAAAATGTCTCGATCACTAACATCTGTAAATCGTTCATATAATGTTGAAAATGATTTGTTAAATAAATTGTTTGGAGGAAGTAGATGTTATTTATCATTATATATGAAATGTATTGTTTGTATATTAATACTTTATTATTTAAATATGTTATTTGGATTTGATAGTTATATATGGTATGAAAAATCTTTTGAAGATGAATATCATTTAAATATGAAACATATTGATGTAACGAAAATTGAAGAAAATGTTGAACAAGTATTAGGTTCACCAAATAATATTCTTTCAAATGAATTTCTTATTAAAAATGAATATTTATGTGGTCGTTCACTTAATCCTGAAACACTTATTCATCCACATTTACTTATATTAATTAAATCAAATTTAGAAAATTTTCAAAAACGTCAAGCTATTAGAATGACATGGGCTATTAAACATCAGTTAACAAATAAAAATATCCAAGTAGCATTTGTTTTAGGTAACATCAATATTTACATTTTTTTTTGCTTTTATTTCAATTTAAATGAAAATTTAAAATTAGATTTAAAAAATCTGGTCTAAATTCGTAAGTTTTGATTAAATAAATATGCTTTGTATTCTATTTAATTCACGTTGATTATCTTAGTTCATTATGCATGTATTATATATATATATATATCACAAAGTCTCATTTTATTTTTCTATTTTAATAATCATATTCAATTTCATTACTTTTTTTGTGTGAAGAAAAAAAAACATTTGAAAAAATATTTTTAGGTACAGATGCACGTAAGACAAGTGTTGAAGATGAATCAAATAAATATGGAGATATAATACAAATAGATAGAATTGATTATTATTATTATAGTACATGTAAGTTTTTAAATATAATTTAATTTAAAAAAAAAGAAAAATTTATTATTTTATTTCTTATTTGAAGATAAAATGATAATGATGCTTCATTGGATAAGTGATTATTGTACATCAAAATCTCGTCGATCTCCTCATATAGATCTTCGAAAATATGTTTTTTTTGTTAATGATGATTATTATGTTGATATTGATCAATTATTAATATATATATATAATATAGATGAAGATAAAGAAATGACAACATATGAAAGACGAACATTTATAACAGGTGAATTAATTGAAAAATCTCGTCCACGAAGATTTATAAATGATCGTTGGTATGTATCATTAATTGATTATCCATATGATATTTATCCTCCATATATATCAACAGAATGTTTTTTAATGACACGATATAATGCACGTTTATATTATATATCATCAAAATATACTCGATTATTTTATTTTGATCATATTTATATGGGACTTTTAGCTTATTCAATGTCAACTAATTTAATTAAAAATAATCAACTTTTTTCAACATCATCATTATCATCAAATCATTTTGTAAATAATCAATATGGGTTTTTATCTAAATGGAAATTTCTTTTTAATTATTATAATCATATTAATTCAACATTGAAACCAATTTGTATTCGAGCATCTCGTGCTCAAAACTTAATTGACATTTGGAATAATATTCATCAAACAAATATTTCATTTTCATTTGAATTATAACATTTTTCTTTTTTTATCTTATATGTTTATCTTTAAAGATAACATTATATTTAAGATAATAGATTTATCTTAAATATATAGAATAATAACAACTAGTTTACACTTATTTTAGATGTCTAACAAATAAATAAAATGAAAAAAGATTATTTTCTTTGTGGAGTTATTGAAGGTATGATTAATTATAATCAATTTATCTTCTTCTTCTTCTTCTTCTTCTTCATATTTGAATATTATTTTTATTTAAATTAAGATTCAACATAAATTAAACATATCTATTAGAATAATATTATCAATTATATTAATTATTTTATTTCACGAGAAATTTTTAGAAAAACAAAAATAATGAAATTAACACGGATCTATTTCTATGATAATAGACGAATCGATTGTCAACAGTTTTTTATTTAATGCTATCTTTCTTTCTTTTTTTTTTCTCAGAAGATTTTTATTTATTTTATCTATAATCAAAATAACAAAAAAGAAAGTCGGTTTAAACACTTTTTTTCTTCTCTTAAATACAATTGAAATATTGAAAAGAATTCGAAAATAATCTCATCCGATCTATTATACTGAACTAATCAATTAAATAATTAATAAAAGTGTAAGGGTCTGACATCTTTAATGGTTAATGTCAGAGGTCAACAGTCCTTCATGATTAGTTATTTGTTTTCTCATTGTTTGTTTTTCTTTTCTTTTTCTCTCTCGATATTATATTCTCAATGTTATGTTCTAATAGATACTCACTGCCACATATTATATTATATTATATTATTATGAAATAAACTTATCCTTTAAAAAGGAACATAACAAAAAGAGATTATCGTTTTTTTTTATCAATAAACAATCAGAGAGCTATTTCGATTATCAACTCAACTAGAATTAAGAATTCTTCAATCTTGTTTTTCTTTTTCATAGAACTCAAATTTTTTCTTGAAATTGAAGAGAACTTTTTTTCAATATTGAGAAGAATATATCTTCTTCTTTAGAATAGATACTAATACTAACTAATAAGAACTGATTATTTCTAAACAAACAGATATACATATTATCAGGAGAATATGTATTATTAATCAATTCTAACTAATTGATATTAATTTATGAAGAAGAAATAATTTAACAAAAAAATATATCCTTATAGGATAAGTCTATAAAAAGACAAAAAAAAAAACACAAATCGAGCTCAAACATCAGTTGTTGAAAATCGATATGAGTTTTTCTTCGATATAAAAAAAATGTTCTATTTCATAAATCGATATAATTTGTCTAACTAATTGAAAAAAAAATCAAAACAATTCTATTACATCGATGTTAACATTCTCTTATTATGTGACATTGGAAATAAAACAATTTATTGTCACATGACCTAAGTTAAACTCAAAATTGAACTCGAATAAATATATGTCGAAATAAAACATACCTATATTAAATTTATTGTTTAAACATGACTTTTTTCAATAATTATGTGTAAGAAAAGATTTGTCTTATATATAAAAAAATAAATGCGAAAACCTCGGATTTAAATCCGAGTGTTATGTGTACTTCAAAAAGTGAAAAGGTATATTCACTGTGCTTTTTATCACTAAATTGCAAGGAGAAAATACAGACGNTTCTTTTTTTCTAAATACTTCTATTTTCGATCTTTTGTTTTGTATTTGTTATCAAGGTTTTTCATTTTTAGACTTTTCTTTTTTATTTATTTTTTTCTTTGATCAATATAACAAAGAATGAAGGTGAACATGCCTTCTTAAATACTATTTCTGAAAACAGCACTGCATTGTTCGCTTTGGTTTTTAATTCAAAGTATTTCTACAGAAAATTCTATGACATGAAAAGAAACCTTCTGTTTCGTATGATTCTAGTTGAACAAAAATAATTGAAAACACTATTTGATGCTGTATAAAGGATGTAAAATAGGTTCAAATGGGATCATGAAATTTTTTTCTTAGATCTCTGGAGAGTGGAAGACGCTGATATTTACCGTATATATAAGACATTTCTAGATCTATTCTACGTAGCAACGGCAAAATGGTTGCGAATTGTGTTTTTAGTGGACATTTCATGAACAGTCAACCACAAAAGATACATATGTACAGGATTCTTAGAAAATTTGTTCGACTACAGAACTTTGTACAGTTCGTTTCGCGGATCATTTTGGTTAAAAAAGTATTCAAATTTATTCTATAAATAACTGTGCTAAAGGCAAAATACTCAAAAATATCAACTATTGGTCAGTAGCAGTCAGAAATAGTCGAATAATTCGTATATTTGGACTCTAGCACCGTTATTTACTGAGTAAGTTTGAATATTCTTTTAGCAAAATCATCAGCGAAACGTGCTCAACAAAGTTCGATAGGCGAAAATATTTTTAAAGAACGTTGTATTTTTTGTGGTTGATTGTTTATGAAAATATTCACGAAAAACACGATTCGCAATCTTTTTGTTGTTAGTAGTATGTTAGAATTTGAGATTTCTAGTTATTATCCTTGGAGAGATATAAGCAGCGCCAAAACAATAAGAGTTTTTCAATTATAAGTGGAACAATTATGGATGAGAAAAATTGTATTCATGTCGAGGAGCGTAAGTAGGGGGGGGGGGCGTGTGGGGCGTAACGCCCCCCCTGCTTCTGGAATTTGCTTATATTACGCCCCCCTGCTTTTAAAAAAATTCATATTCTGTAATCATAGAAAATGCAGAATATTTATATTATATGTGAAAATTTACTAGTTGATTGAAAAAGGAGAACTCAACAAAAGACTCTACTAATTTATTACGTTTTACTTTTCTTACTCGCTTTCTGAAAATTATTTGAATAATTTTGTGTAAGCAGTGACTTCTGACGAGTGAAAGGATGAAGTTTCATTGAAAAAAATGATTTGGTTCTTTGCCAAGAAATTGCTCGATATATCAAACGGAAAAGCAAATTAAAACCTTTCGTTTAATGTTTCTCAGTATTCAACAGTGATTTTTAGCTTTGTTTAACTTCTTTAAGCTGAAGAAAATTTTGATTAAATTCAACATCAAGATGTTTACAACACTTATATTGACATACTTATTCATTTATCCATTTATATTCACATTCTAAGTACTAGAGAGCATCTCTAACAGAGAGTATCATCCATAGGATGATCATACATTCTCTATTTGCGTGTGTGCGTGATCTGTCTATGTGTGTCGTTCTTCTCTATACCTATCCATGACGTCCCATTATACGTGTGTTGATCTTTTTTTTCTTTCTCTCTTTCACTCTGTCTCTCTTCGTGAATGAGAATTTCAATAATTCTCATATTTTCTTTCGTCCGGAAAAGATGATCACATGATCATCTCTTTCCTTCATTCGTCTGTGTCTCTCTTTTTTTTCTTTATGTATTTTCGGACGACTCGCCTAGTATAAAAGAGGGACATTTTCTTTGAATAAAGGATAGTAGTTGAAATCATTTGAATTTGGACGTTCGGTTGTGGTTGGAGGATATTCTCTCACTCTTTCACTATCTTGGTAGTTACAGTATAGGGACCACTGTAACACTAAGGAACTCAGCAATAAAATTGTTGACATTTTGGATACTTTTAAAGCTAAATAATCAAACCTAATTAAGCGTCATTGTTTAGTACAACTTAATCAAATAAATTAAGTTAATATTACTTAAGGTTTTTTTCTAAGGTTTAATGTTCTGGTTTAGAATGTCAAATTGAAAATTATTTCTTTTTGTTTTAGATGGTATAAATGTCATCATCTTCGGAAAAGATATCTCGTTCTCATACAATCGAGTTTTTTTTCAATAAAAAGAAAAAAGTCGATGAACAAGAATTAGTAACATCTTCATCACTTGAAGATACACATTCAACTCATCAACGAATTAACCATTCTATAAATTCGAATATATCATCAACTAATTCACAAATAATCAGACCGATAAATTCAAATGTTTCTATTGATACAAGTGTTATTTTAAGTTGCTTAGACAATATTATTACAAACATAGAAAACGATGGTGGTGATGAACTTTCATCAACAAGTATGACAGTTTTTTTCCTTTGAATTGGCTTCTGTTTCGACAAATTGTTCTCTATTTTTCTCTAGAATCAAGTTCAAATGAAACAAATATTTTGTTTGATATTGGTGTTGATTTGCGTCGAGTACAACAAATGAGTGAAACATGTGTTGAATTGATCAATCAAACAACAGAAATTGATAATGTCCAAGAGAAAGTCTTAAATGATACATTAGATTTTACCAATCGATTAATATTATTAGTAAATAATTTACGTGATAAATGTTTGTCTAAAATCGATTTTATCAAAAGTAACAGAGGTACTGTGAGATCCTAAATATAATTTTAATTTTTTTTAAATTTTAATTATTGTCACATTTACTATTTCATGGTATGCATAGGTGTTATTAATGATAATAGTGAAAAACCACCTATTGATCGTGATCCTGGTGCTGCTATTGGGCTTTCCAATAATATACACAAGTTTTCTGATGATCAACTTCGTTATTTAACATCGAAAGGACCATTTCAACCACGTATTGATTTTCCTATAAATGAGAAATTAAAATCAGCAAAACAAACATACAAATTTGTACATTCGTGGTATGCTGATTTTCCATTTTTAGAATACAGTATTGCTAAGGACAAGGTTTATTGTTTTGTATGTCGATTATTCGGTGATGGAGCTGGCTCTGAACAATCAGAGTTAGCATGGATAATTGGTACCAACAGATGGAACAAAATGAAAAGTAGGGGAAAAGAGAAAAAAGGGAAACTTGTTTTACATTTTACGTCAAAATCACATAATGCAGCACTGGACCGATATAATAATTTCATAACAAATAAAAATCATGTTGGTCTTATGCTCGATTCACATAAACAACAAGCTGAACAAAAACGTGAAGCTACACTTAAATATAATTGTACGATTGTTTCTACATTAATTGATATTAGTCGTTTTCTTGCAAGACAAAATCTTGCTTTTCGTGGTCGATCTGGAGGTGAAGAACAAGGTATTTTGAAAAATAATTTAATGTCGTTTCAAAATTTCTTTGTCATTTTTTAGGAAATTATGTTCAGCTTGTTAATTTATTTAGAAGATATAATTCAAATTTTAATCAATGGTTTCTTGATACTTCTCTTCGTGCACATCAGGTAAGACAGTCATTATTGATATTACTTTCAGGAAGATATCTGGGAATCACGTTATGATTATTAATGATTATTATTTATTATAGGTAACTTATCTTACACCACAAGCACAAAATGAATTTATTGAGATTATTGGTAAAGAAGTACATAGTGAAGGTAATAGTCCTTGAATCACTATCATCGAAAATTATCATTTTATCTTTTTCATTTATTGTTGGTTCTTGGTTTTAGTTCTGAAAAGAATCATGGAAGTACCATTTATTTCGATTATGGTGGATTCAACACCAGATATTTCAAATAAAGAAATGTATAGTATTATTATTAGATATACCCGAAATTTTGAAATTCAAGAACGTCTTTTTGCATTTGGTGAACTCAATAGTAAAGTTGGTGAGCATATTGTTGAATTTATTCTTTCATTTTTTAAAACATTTGGTATTTCGACAACGAAAATTATTGCTCAATCGTATGATGGGGCCAGCAATATGACGGGTAAAAATATCGGTGTTCAAACATTGTTGAGCAAAAAATTAAATAGGAACATTATCTTTATTCCATGTGGTGCTCATCGATCAAATCTCGGTATGTCAAGCTTATAAAAAATATTCAAAAGTTCTCATATATAAAACAATTTTCTTTAAGTTATCAAGCATTCAAGCTCTATTAGTGTTGAATATATTAGTTTATTTAATCTATTACAAGCATTATATAATTACATTGGTGGTAGTGTAAAACGTCATATGGTATGTTTTCGCTTTTCTATTATTTTACAGTGCTAAGTTTTGTAGTTCAATCATCTGCCTAAACCAGATATGTCTACTGTTTTTTAGATTTATAAAACCAAAATCGATGAAACCAATTATGGTTTATTATTAAAAGATTTATGTGAAACACGATGGTATGCTCGTTATGAATCATTAAATGCTGTTTATATATCATTTCATCAATTAGTTGAGTGTTTATCGGAATTAGAAGACGATACTGATACAAATACTCGTCATAAAGCAAAAGCATTACGAAAAAAAATTGTTTCATTTGAATTTTATGTACTTTTGATATTTTTACGAAAACTTATGGCAATGACAAATGCAACAACAATTCAATTACAACAACAAGAATTGAATATAATTGCTGCTATTGAAATGTTATCATCATTATTAGAATTATTAAAAGAACTAAGAAATGATGATGATGCTTTTGAACAAATAATTGGAGTAAATATTATTTCTCATTGATGAGTCTAAAATAGATACAGGTTATATAATCTTGTTCTATATTTCTAGACAGCTGAAAATGAATTAGAACGATATGATGTTGATTTTGAAGCTGAATTTCATCGTTTACATCGTTCCAGACTTCGATCATCAAGAATTGATGATAACAATGCAAATGCTCACGTATTTACTCGGTAAGATAGATCATCATAAATATATACGTAAAGAGTGTTTTTTTTTGTAATTTATTGACAAAATTTTCTTTTCTATTTTATATTAAAGTAAAACATTTTATACTACGTTATTTCGTAAAATAATCGATTAATTATATATGGAATATAATACATATTTAAGTACATTAAATGAAACAGTGTGTTGGTTTAAACACTTATCACCATCAACAATCAATGGTTTTAATCAAAATGATGCTGATCATTTACTTAATATTGTACCCGGTATAGATGATGCTCTATTACTTTTTCAAGAATTTAAACAACTTACACCAACTATTATGAAATGTTCGAGTACTCTTGAAGTTGCCAAGATATTTAAAGATTATTATAAAATTTATCCACGTGCTGCTCTTGTTTATCAATTTATGTTGACGTTGCCTATTACTGTAGCTACGAATGAAAGAACATTTTCAAAATTAAAATTAATAAAGAATTATTTAAGAAGCACAATGGATAATCAACGTTTATTTTATTTGTTAATTAGTTCGATTGAATATGATATATTAGATGAAATTGATCCACAAAAGCTCGTACAAGATTGGGCAAAGATAAAGGATCGTAAAATTGTTGTATATTGATGAACAGTTGTTTATGTAATTTAGTTTTTCTATTGCTTATATATTGTAATTTTCATGCCATTGGAAATTGAAACACTATCTTTTACTTCAATAAAATCGAATTGAATGAAAATCTCGTTAGTACATTTATATAAACTGCACAGGAATAGGTGAAAAACATTAATATATATAATATCGAGGTCAATGCCAAGTTTATCAAAATACTCTGTGTATAATATCAGTTTCAGCGTAGTACAATAAAATTTAAACAACTATCTGTATCTGCGTACTGTAGGTTATTTACGCCCCCCCTGCTCTGAGTGCTGACTTACGCCCCTGGATTCATGTCATTATGCATCCATAACAAATAGCTTTTGCTTTGCTGCACACTATAAACAAAAAAAAAGGTTTTTCACGAAACCAAGAAAAAAGGTGTCGTATCGAATCTCTTGTGGACTGCTGGTGAAAAGGTTTGGTAGGAGAGATTTTTCACAAAGCCTTCTTAGCAAATCGAGAATAAGGTTTCGTACGAAGAGTTTCGTAGTGACATTTACATGAATACAATTAGCCTTATCTACTTACTCCTGTACCTTTATTTCTATACTTACTCATGCATCTATACTTAACGGCTTTTATCTGTATGTAACCTCTTATACTTATATCTAACTCCTTATTTCTATATTTAACCCCTTATATTTATATCTATCCCTTATTTCTATACCGATACCCTTATTACTATTCCGAAACCCTTATAACTATACGAAATCCCTTATTTCTATGCCCAAACTTTATTTCTATACTTAATCCCTTGTTCCTATCCTTAACGCTTTATGACTATGTCGAAGTTGCTATGTTTCTATTTAATCCGTTATACTAATATTTAATCCCTTATTTGTACACTTAAAATCTTATACTTATACTTATACACAATATCTTATGTCTATGCCTAAATCCTTATAAGTATCCATAACACTTTTTTGCTATGCTTAACTTATAACAACTTCTATTACCTTATCTCTGCGCCGCAACTCGTATTCCTACGCTTAACCCTATATAATTATACTCAACGACTTATTTGTATACTTAAACTCTTATTCCTATACTTAACTCCTTGGAACCATTTATAACTATGTCTAAGGTAAGTCGTTATTCCTATACGTAGCCCCTTCATTCTATATCAATAGCCCTTTTCCTGTACTTACTATCTTGTTTCTATACTTACTCCCTTATAAATATATTTAATCCATTATTCGTAAATCGAATACCACTAGTTTCTATGCATAAACCCTTATTCCAATACTTGATCCGTTATAACTATATCTGATCTCTTATAGCTGTATTTAATCCCTTATTTTTATACCGAAACGTCTATCCCTCTGCTTAATCCATTAGAGCTATATCTAATCCCTTGTTTGTATATCTAAGTTGGTATTCCTATGCTTGAATCCTTATAATTACGTCTGATTCGCTACTTCTATGCCTAAACTCTTATTCCTATATTTAACCTCCTACAAGTATATATCTTTAACTATGTTCTTACCCCTCTATAGTTATATCTATACTCTAAGACGTATACCTTCATAGCTGTTTCTTTAAACTTATCCCGTCACACCTATACCCGTTCACTTGTATTTTTATGTCTACACGGTTGGAAAAAATATTATTCCAGGGAGTAACACCATCATTTTAAATAGAGTAAATGATAAATTTTATATGAAATGAAAGCTCGTGAAAAACGGGATTTATTGATACTAAATAATAAAGGCTGTGAAGACCTTAGTGTATTAAACTTTCGAAGTTTATATAATTTTGTAAAGTGTAAAGGTTATAATCTCCTTTTGCCGACTTGCAAGACAAAAAAAAGAAATTTTCTTAGAAAAAATTTAAATGGCAATGTTCTATTGATCATACAGCATAGCCTCGACTGACAGGATATTATTATCTTTTCGGGTTCTGTGATCTATGCCTCGTGGTAGAGGTTAGTAAGAAGACTTTTTTGTTTTTCTTCTCGGAGAAAGTTACGAAAGAGAAAATTTTAAATACTTCGTGAAGTGGTATATAAAATCCTTTTCTGATCGATATATATCATAAAAAGAGAATATATTCTTCTGGTAAATCGACGAATTTCTATTACTTGAAAATGGCTGGTGCTTATGATACTGAACAAAAGAGAATGATTGACAGAATTAAATACATCGTTTTTCGTGAAAGTCGCGATGCTGGTGGAACATTTATTAATGGACAATGGATTGCGGGCAAAATTCACCACACAACCCGATTTGTCACAGAATGGTGGGAAAAATCATATGATCAATGCTTTACTGATTATTCAAACGCTGGTCGCAAGCTCAAATTATCACAAGTAAGTCAAGACATCATTCATAAAGCAAGTGGTCGACAAGGAAAAAGTTGTTCTATTGTGGCGAAAGAGATTGGAGAAGAGCCAAAGAAGTACGTCACTGGAAGAACAATCAATAATTATCGTCATAGAGAAGGATTGAAGCCATTCCATGTTATTCCAAAGCCATTAAAATCTGAAACTCATATATCAAATCGTTTATGGCTATGCGACTGGTTAGAAGATTGGACTGAAGAGGATTTTCTTCATCTCGCATCATCTGACAAGTTTTATGTCTGGCTTGTTCGTAGATCAAATTATCAAAATGATAAAATTTGGGCCTTAGGCGTCGAAGATATTGAAGAAGATGAAAGGTACCGTGAAATGGGTCAGAATCAAATATGCATTTGGATTTTTATTATGTTTACTTGTAAGAGATTACTTTGGCTGATTAAAGATAAAGGTGAAGCTTGTACTGGTGAATATTTTCATGACAGAATTTTAACTCAAAATGTAATACCTTTTTTAAATAATGAAGAAAATGCTATTGATCCTGATGAAGTTACATTTGTTCATGATAATGTACCATGTATGTGAGCAAATAAAACCCAACATTTGCTTCAAGACAACAATGGTAAGTTTTGGGGTAATAATATCTGGTCAGGAAATTCACCTGATCTCAATGTGGCAGAACGTATTGGATCAATAATCAAAGATGAAGTTGAGAAAAAAATGTTATCAGAAACTGGATATAATCGATATCTTGAAGACATAATGAAAACGCACATTACAAATGTTTTGACCAATATGGAAACAGATACTGACTTATTTGAAACACTTTTACGTTCGTATCCATCACGCCTTCGTGCAGTGAAGAATGCTAACGATCGTCACACTCATTATTGATTCTATTCATTAAGTGATGAAAAAATAAACTATTTTGGAACACATTTAGTTCAAATTTTACATAGCAGACAGTTTTTCTCTTACTTCATGTCAATGAAATATTATATATTTCGAGAGTTTAATACACTAAGGTCTTCACAACCCTTACTATTTAGTATCAATAAATCCCGTTTTTCACGAGCTTTCATTTGGTATAAAATTCATCATTTACTCTATTTAAAATGATGATGTTATCTCCTGGAATAATATTTTTTCCAACCGTGTATAACTCTTACTGTTTTCTCTTATATATTTATGTAAAATGGACTGCTTATAATCACAAACGTGTACATAAAATAAATTCTCTTTTTTACATAGAAGTTAAGCGTGTCTTTTTAATATATTTATTTCGAACGAAAGAACATTTACAGCTGAATGCATCTGATAGATTATCGTGAGATTCGATCACTCGACAGAATTTAATGAGAAGTCGGTTATGGAATCATTAATGGATCTAATAATCAGATTTCAATGAATATGCGCTAATATTCAATTGTCAAAATCGATAAAAATTCTCATCATTGGTTGTTGATGAAATTTCTGTAAATTTTCACTAGCATGTTTGGATCTTCGATGAACTATGTATATCATAAAAATATCCATCATTTAAACTCTAGTGAAATTTACTTAGGGCAAACCAAAAGTAAGGGTATTGATACTTTAATACCGTATAATAAGCTTTAAGAAATTTCTCTATACATAGTCTGATAGAGAAAAGAATTCTCTATCTTTCTATGCTATTTGATCATACTTTAGCTAATATCATAACAATAAAATTTCAATAGGAGCTGTTTTCCTATCATATGTGACGGTTACACTAATTCGAGTGTATAGTTTTTGAATAATTTTTTTATAGAAACATGATAGAGAGCTGCGATTTTCACCGTTGGAAAGCGGAGATGAAGACGCATCGAATTGCATATTATATATTTTCCTAGACGTTATCTGAAATTTCTTCATTCAATTTTCTAAGTATGCAAAAAAATGGCTTTGTATTTCTGCACAGAAATTGTTAACTCCACCATAGAGACCGCGATCCAGCGGCTTCTGTGCCGGTCGCAAGTCCGGATAAAGGAGGAGCGTTTGACGGAAGGGGTGCAGATACCGCCGTCTGTAAAAAGAACAAGACGACAGAAACCAACCATGAACGACTTCAACACAAAACTATACCGGCTCGGACGACGCCCGGGTAAACAAGGTCCGCGTCCTCTGCCGAGTGACCAGGGCAGAGTCGNGCATTACTTGAGAATGGCCGGTACTTATGATAGTGAACAAGAGAGAGTGATTGACAGAATTAAATGCATCGCTTTCCGTGAAGCTCGCGACGCAGGTGCAACCTTTATTAATAGACGATGGGTCGCGGACAAAATCCACCGTACAACTCGATTTGTCACGGAATGGTGGGAAAAATCATATGACCAATGTTTCACCGATTATTCAAACGCTGGTCGCGAGCTCAAATTATCACAGGCAAGTCGAGACATCATTCATAAAGCAAGTGGTCGACAAGGAAAAAGTTGTTCTGTTGTGGCGAAAGAGATTGCAGAAGAGCAAAAGGAGCACGTCACTGGAAGAATAATCAATGATTAGCGTCACAGAGAAGGACTGGAGCCATTTCATGTTATTCCAAAGCCATTGAAATCTGAAACTCATATATCAGATCGTTTGTGGCTTTGTGAGTGGTTAGAAGATTGGACTGAAGAGGATTTTCTCCATCTTGCACCATCGGATGAGTTTTATGTTTGGCTTGTTCGTGGACAAAATTATCAAAATGATAGAATTTAGGCCTTAAGCGTTGAATATATTGAAGAGGATGAAAGGTACTGTCAAATGGTTCAAAATCAAATATGCATTGGAATTTTTATAATGTTCACTTGTACAAGATTGCTCTGGGTGATTAAAGATAAAGGTGAATCTTGGACTGGTGAATATTTTCGTGACATAATTCTAACTCAAAATATAATACCCTTTTTAAATGATGAAGAAAATGTCATTGATCCTGATGAAGCTACATTTGTCCATGACAAGGCGCCATGTATGCGAGCAAACAAGACCCAACATTTGCTTCAGGACAATAATGTGAAGTTTTGGGGTAATGATATCTGGCCAGGCAACTCACCTGATCTCAATGTGTCAGAACGTATTGGATCAATAATCAAAGATGAAGTTGAGAAAAAAATGTTATCAGAAGCTGGAGATAATCGCTATCGTGAAGACATACTCAAAGTGCATCTTACAAATGTTTTGACCAATCGGGAAACAGACACTGACTTATTTGAAACACTTTTACGTTCGTATCCATCACATCTTCGTGCAGTCAAGAACGCTAATGGTCGTCATGCGCATTATTGACTATTCATTTAATATTGAAGAAATAAACTGTTCTGGAACACATTTAATTTGAATTTCACTTCGAAGATAACTTTTCTCTTAGTTTATGTCACTGACATATTATGGTTTTCGCGAATTTAATAGATAAAGGTCTTCATAACCCCTACTATTTAGTATCAATAAATCCCGTTTTTCAAGGGCTTTCATTTTGGTATAAAATTCATCATTTACTCTATTCGAAATGATGGTGTTACCCCCCTGGAATAATATTTTTTCCAACCGTGTGGAAAAACAACAATTAAATTTTTTTATTTTTGTTTAAGTTTTCCTACTGCTAAACGATAATAATGTCCACCAAGCGCAAGTAATTCTTGATGAGTTCCACTTTCAACTATTGCTCCATTATGTATAACACAAATCATATCAGCGTTTTGAATTGTTGATAAACGATGTGCTATTGTTATTGATGTTGAATTTTTTTGAGCATGATCTAATGCTTCTTGAACTAATTTTTCACTTTCACTATCCAATGCACTTGTTGCTAAATAATTATATATATTATACAAAAATGTATTCTCAAATTCTTCTTACCTTCATCAAGTAATAATATTTTTGGATTACGAATTAATGCTCGAGCAATTGCTAAAGAAAAATTATACATGCAATTTTACATATGGGCCGTTCCACGTAAGTCACGACCCACTGACACAGAAGCTGCTCAATCCATGGTCGCCGATTTGACTTTCTTTTATATGTTACAGAGGCGAATGTTTCATGAATTTCTACGAAAGCCGTTTGCAAAAATTTTACTGAGAGCATCCTCATCAAAAAATGACTTTTTTGTGATTTTTTTCTGGCATCGCTATCTCTTCAAGGATGCATCTGACTCACTTGGAATTTCTACTATAAGTCTATCGTAAATTTGTGTATTTTTCATAAGAGGAACGGACTCAAAGGGATGAATCATTAATAAGTTGACTTGGACTACCAAGTACATAAAAAAAATTGTACTTTTCGTATTTTATGCATATACATATCGATTGAACAGATAGTGTCAGAGAGCTAAAATTTCGATTAAAAAAAGATCTGGTTAACTACTAATTAGTTTTGATAAAAATTCGGCTCTATAGCTGGCTCCTATAGCTCAGGAGACCTGTTCAAAAATGTGTTTTTCCCTAAAATCATGATTTTGCGAGATGTCGATCTAGACCAAAATGAGGCCTATAGAACTTCGGTCTTTATGGTTTTGAAGTATACCGATAGTACTATAAAGGTATGCAACAATCAGGATGGGACGCTCTAGAATGCCTTGTAAAGCCTTACTCGAAGACGGGTGAAAGAATGATGTTAATCATGCTAAATTCTTTAAAATTTGCCTTGGAATAAATAAAAACATTGCATAATATGGAGAGAATTTCTACCCAGTATACATGATCACACAATTCTCTACTGACTGATATATGAAGCTCCTTTAAATATGAGAAAAACAAAGTTTGACCAAAAATTCTGGAGGTAGTACGACCAAGATTTATTTTTCGAAATCATGATATGTATTGAGTACGTTACATAAGGTGAAGTAGATTTCCATTCACTGTATATCAGCACACCATTTGCTATTAATTGAACTGTATGACTTCTTTGAAAAATAAAAACTTTCGATTAGAAACCCTGGAGGGGGGTACAGAGATTTGGAAAAATAAATCTTGGCCGTACTACCTCCAGGGTTTTTCGTCAAAATTTGTTTTTCTCATATTTAAAGGAGCTTCATATATCAGTCAGTAGAGAATTGTGTGATCATGTATACTGGGCAGAAATTCTCTTCATATTATGCAATGTTTTTATTTATTCCAAGGCAAATTTTAAAGAATTTAGCATGAATAACATCATTCTTTCACTCATCTTCGAGTAAGGCTTTACAAGGCATTCTAGAGCGTCCCATNTGGAATATTGATCGAAGTAATGTGGGTGTGGATGTGGGTGTGAATGTGATTAGAGAGAAGACTAGCATCCACACCCACACACCCACACATCCACACCCACATCCACACCACCCACATCCACACCCACACCCGAGCTACTTTTGGTCCGTATCAGATAATTCTAGAGACTGAAAGATAAACAAACATTCATTCAAATATTTTCTGTACAATTGACATTTTCAACTTTGTCAAACATTTGGCTCATCCATAATTAATCCTAAGTCACAAAAATATTATGATTATATATTTTCGAAAAAAGCACAATATTTTATCTTTAGCTGACTAATTTTGAGTCTCCCTAACTACGTTTAGACGACTGAAAAATGACTAAACATTTTGTCTCAAGACTTTTGCAACAAAAATTATTTGAAATGACTTTCTTTAAAAGATTATTGAAATGTCATTGTATTTGTATATTTCGACAAACACAAATGAGATTCTGTTAGCAATTAAATTCGTGAGCTGTCAAATTTTTATCGTTAATTATTTTCAAATGATTCTCCAAAGTTTGAGATGAATTTTATCAGATTTTATTAAAATTTTAGAACAATCTGCTGATTTAATTGTTTGTTAAGCATCGACAAACATTAAATAAATCCATTGATTCAACATATTGCTTTATTTACGCAAAATAAATAATAATCTATATTTTTTTCGCATGAATTAATAAAGTAGATTCTAGATGAAGATTAAACATCATATAAAACAAAATTAGTTCAATTTAAAATATATATTTGATTATCTTTTTGAACATGATATCTGATAAATAATTCATGCTAATAGAAATTATTCCTCTATTTTTGTTGATTATAAGTCTTTCAATATAAACTATATTCTAATTAAATATATATATATAGTCATTGCTGTATGAATGTATATATATATGATAAAAATCTATATAGAACAATTGGCATGAATATTAAACAAAGATTGTTTTTATTTATAATTGATATTATTTCAAATATATAAATAAATGTTATTAAGATAATAATATTGAGATGAATTTTTCTATAATTGTCTTATTGAACATACAACAATATGACATAAACTTAGTGAATAAAAAATAATTTTCAACTTTTATCTATTTACATTTTCATTTTATTTTAATGAAAAATTTAATGAAATAACAAGACATTTCATGATTAACATATTCATATTGTTTCTAATAATGCAATTAAAACTTTTCTGAATATAATTTTGTCTTTGAAAAATATTGTTCACCAATTAGATAATCAACGTTCATTTCATTGTCAATATTAATTTGATTCTCAATAATTAAAATAAATCTTTTATCTTATACTATAAGGTTTTGTCTATTGGATTGAAATGAATTTTATTCTATTGATTCATTCTTTCAATTTCTGATTTATTTCTCATGAGTTTGTCTGTCAATGAGAGTAACTGTCTACAAAACATTCTCAATCGTACACAAACACAAACGCACACACATCATCACCATCACCATTGTCAAATCACATTATTTATGGGTTCGTATAGAATTTCACACTGAATCTTCTTATTAAAAAAGATAAATTTATCAAGTACAGAGAAGAGAACAAAATTTGAAAATTTTATTCCTTTAATTGTTGATGCATTACCCATTATTTCCAAAAATTTTCATGATCTTTACATTACTTTTATTTATGTAACTCTGATAAGTACAAAAAGGTCTAATTCTATCATTGAATATATCTATATATATATACATGTATCTAGTACATATATTTTAAATATTAGCTACTTCTACTCAACAAACATGATCATGTGTCAACATCGAAAAACTAAAATTATATTTTATTAAAACAACAAGAAAAATGTTCTTATACTATTATAGTTTTCCAGATGGATTACATACACTTGATATTATAACGATATTTATACAGTAACAATATAAGATTATTTTCAAACATCTGAAAGTCCGAAATGAATGTTATTTTCTATGATATAATAAGATCTAAATATGTAGAAAAAAAATGGCGGTAAACTCTTTACAAATAATAGAGAAACAAATATCATAGATAGCCATCTGACTATGTCTACTTCTATATTTGATGACTATCTCCGGTGAAACTACTCGAAATCATATGTATACAATTTTGTTGAGCTCAATTTTAAGAAGTATCTACTCTAAATTATGTACACATCTCATATTCTAATAACTATATTTATGGTCAAGTCAGTAAAGAAACAATACATTGACTACAGTTATTGTATAATTATATAGTAGAATTAATTAATTTTCAAATGGTATATCATAATTAGAGATATTCTTGAAATTTTCAAATTGTATTGTTTTTGCTCATAAATTTACTTCTGTCTTTTTTATTAATACTAAGAATTGAGTAAAGATTCCTAGATTAATTTTAAGGTAAAATGACCGATCTCTATCATCATCTGTTATTTCTCTTCTGCCCTCTGACCCTTCGAAACAATTTTTCTTTGAAGATGTAACCATTAAATGATTTTTCACAAATAAAAACAATTTATTTTTTGCATTAGATTGTTACTATTCAAGGCTTTACTATTCTTCGTTCCTTAAAAAATATTTGTATACCTGTCTCGCATGAAGCAATAAGAGAAACATACAACATTGAGTTAGACAGTCTCAAAATTTCGAAAACAATGGACTGTTTACAGTAAAAATCAGCGCGAAATCTCTTTTAGGAGTCCATTGATTCAATTTTGTAAAGAATCGAAGAACGAATGGTTGATTCAATCGGATATCATTTTTCGGCCTTCGAACATTTACGTGATAGCAAGAGTGAAGACAGCAAAGAGCAATGTCTCTTTATGAATATGAGTGTCATGGTCGTGGTCGTGGTCATGAGCACTCTGTCTTGTATTTCGAACTATGCTCTCTATTCTTTAATTCTTCTCTACTTCGCAATGCTGCTCCTCTCTCCTTTGTCCCTTGATGTACTCTGTTTCGTCTTGTCACACGTTTCTTCTCTTTTTTTTTTGTTTGTTTTTAATACAAGTCATTCGTTTGCGTGTTGATCTTAATGACACAGGTTTGTGAAAGATATTGTAAACTGAGTGAATGGGATGTACATAGTGAACATAACTGTGGCAATTACATGTGTGAGTCAAGTTTCTCGTTCGATTTTATGATAAATTAAACGAATATTTTACGATGAAAAAGAATTTCAAGAAGAAAAATACTCAATTTTATTTTATACAAAATTCTATCAATGGTGAAAATCATCCATGTGGATTATATGACTTTAGTTCAAATGATAGTTTATAATACTTTAAATAGTGTGGATTGAGTAGTGATCGCCAATACAAACAATGATATTAATCATGAAATTGGTTCTACGTTATCTACGTGGTATTAATATGTATTTAAAGATAAAATAAAAATGTGAACAAAGAATGTTTGCAATACACTTGATGTTTCATTGATATTTTTTATCAATATAAATAAGATGACATTAAGTCAACATATGTTGAAGGTGTCTATTGGACTGCACAACGCTATAAATGAAACAACGATTTTCATCTTTTCTATCCAGAAATTTTTTTTTTCATAAACACAAATTGTATTGTTACATGTGCAGTTTCTATATTTTTTTCTGCCTATTTTACAGACAGTTTGCATAATTATTATTAATTTAAACTAGATCGAACAATATTCAGTCATTCATGACAAATTTTAGAAGACATCATTAGTCGGTCAACTATTAACAAGAGCGTGACATCAAGCGAAGAGAGAGAGAGAGACCACACCTGTAGAACGAAAAAAACAAATAATGAATAAAAACGAGAAGAGTTACCGTTCATACCGGTTCGAGCTCGTTTTGTGTGGGTAAAAAGAACAGGAAGGAGTAGCCGGCTTTCTAACCGGTTACTGACGTTATTTTTATATAGAGTATAACTACACAAACTATTCATATAGATTTTCATTCATTCTCTTACCGTAGAACAGCAATAATATTACCATGGTCGAGATATTTGCGGATCCATCATTAGATATTAATTATTGGGCTCGTTTTCTTATGCAAGTATTTATTATTCTTGTACTTGTTCGTCTGATGGGATGGTTACTTGCATTGATTAAACAACCATCAGTAAGAAATAATTTAAATATAGAATATGTTTGTTTATTCTATAAATAATGAATATAGGTTATTGGGGAGATTATTGCTGGAATAATCGTTGGTCCTTCAGTAATGGGTAATATTGAATTTTGGTCAAAACGTGTATTTCCTCCATCATCATGGAATTATTTCACACTAGTTGGCAATATTGGTCTTATTTTATTTATGTTCAATTTAGGCTTAGAACTTGAACAAAAACAACTTAAACGTCAATGGAAATATTCTTTTCCAGTATCTATTGCTACAATTATTATACCATATGGAGCTGGTGCCGCTCTTTCTGTCTATTTATATGATATTAATGCTCGAGATGGTTTTAAACCACCTGATCGAACTGCATTCTTTTTGTTTGCAGCATCAAGTATGTCATTTACTGCTTTTCCTGTTCTTGCAGCTATTCTTACATCGACTAAACTTTTATCGGCGCCAATTGGTACTCTAACAATAAGTTGTGCAGCAATGAATGATATTATGGGTTGGTGTTCATTGGCTATTGCTGGTGCATTTGCCAAAGGATCCGGTATTATTGGTTTGTGGTAAGTATAATAAAAATAAAATAAAATAAAATAAAAATAAATCTATAGGGTAATATTAATATCGATTGGTTATGTGTTATTTATGTTTACAATTGTTCGATGGTTGATTAAACGGGTACATAAATATTTAATGGAAAAAAATAATGAAATGAATCGTACATTTCTTATTGGTATATTTCTTCTTCTTATTGCATCAGCATTTTTTTGTGATATACTTGGTATACATTCATTTTTTGGTGCATTTGTTGTTGGTGTTATATGTCCAAAATCAGGACAATTTAATGTTGAATTATTTCCTAAATTAGAATTAGTTACTGTTGAATTATTATTACCATTATTTTTTGCTGCTAGTGGTATGAGAACAAGTTTAGGTTCGTTAAATGATAAATATTATGGTGGTATAACTGTACTTATTTTTACTGTCGCTACATTAGCGAAATTTTTGCCAGCATTAATAATGACAAAAATAGTTACAAAACGTTCATGGAAATTTTCAACAAGTGTTGGTATATTAATGAATACACGAGGTTTAGTTGAACTAATTGCATTAAATATTGGTCTTCAACTTAATATTCTTTCACCTCGTCTTTTTACAATGTTTATTATAATGGCTCTTGTAACAACATTTATGACATGTCCACTACTTTGGATTGTTTATCTTCGAACATATAAACCTGAAGATTTTAACAGTGAAACAAATGATATTGAACAAGATGTTGATCAAGACAATAATCTTGAAAAAGTTCCATCATCAACAATCTTTACAAAGTTTTAAGACAGAATATTTATTGAGAAGTTTATTTTTTCATATAATGTGCATTTATCATTTTGATTATTTTACTTTTTTAATTGTACAATAAAAATATCTCAAATCGAATTTTCATATTCAAATTTAGTTTATTAAACACCTTATACATGAACATTTTATCTATAAACAATAAAGTGTTCAGATATGAATTCATACAAAATCAACATCTATCAGAAATGAAAATTCGTTGATCTAATTAGTTCATGTGATATGTTTAAGAAAAAGCATAATTTTTTACATAATAAATCTTACAGTAAGAATACATTGTAAAAAAGGGAGTTTCATTGTTTCAGCGATACTTCTCATTCATAATATTTATTTCTCAATGAAAAACTCTTAGATATATTAATAAAAACTGTATTTCTATATGTTATTAACATCGATCTATACAATGGTCATATTGGATTCGGTTAATTCAGCAAGTCAACTTCATTCACCAAGTATACTTCGTTGTAAACAGACCGCTCTTCAAATCCATAATTGAAATTACGCCAACTTGATAATCATTCTACACTAGTCTTTTGCAAGAACAACTTTTTTCATTACCATTTTCGTAGTA